TAATGAAAATGGAGTATTTTAATTTTTTCAAATTTTAGCTAGATTCACAATCCAAGATTGGTTTGCCTCTGTTAAAAGGGTGAAGAGGCATGGTAGCACCTCACACTTAGAATGAACAGTTGGAAATAAAATTGACAAGTTTGCTTCTATCCTAACTAGATAGAGTTTTTACTTATTTTTCGCTTTTAAGCTGTGGCTTAAAACACACTCGTCCATGTGTATAATAGAAATTAGAGTGCTACCACTATGTTACCTCTTTTTTATTCTATTTTTGAGACGGAGTCTCACACTGTTGCCCAGGCTGGAGTGCAGTGGCATGATCTTGGCTTACTGCAACCTCCGCCTCTCGGATTCAAGCAATTCTGCTTCAGCCTCCAAAGTAGCTGGGATAACAGGCAATCACCACCGTACCCAGCTAGTTTTTTTTATCTTAGTAGAGACTGGGATACACTATGTTGTCCAGACTGGTCTCGAACTCCTGGCCTCAAGTGATTTGCTCACCTCAGCCTCCCAAAGTGCTGGGATTATAGGCATGAGCCCACCGTGCCCAGCCTAATTTTAGGATTTTAAAGTCTTATCCTTTTCAGGACAGAGCTTCTGTGTCGTTCAGTATAGTTCAAGAAAGAATTTGACTTAAATAGCACTTAGGGTTCTCATTTGTTGAAGAAATTTTTAAAGGATGTGATTAGGTTATACTTCATTTTTGAAGAATTAGAGTACTTAGCCTGTGCTACAACGTTCTGATTTACAAATAGTGGAAGAAAATGGAGTATTTGGAATTGTGTATTTGTTTGTTTTGAGACAGTCTCACTTTGGCTGGAGTGCACTAGTGTGATCTCGGCTCACTGCAGCCTCTGCCTCCTGGGTTCGAGCGATTCTTCTGCCTCAGACTCCCAAGGAGCTGACATTACAGGCACAGGCCCCCACACCTGGCTGATTTTTTAAATTTTTAGTAGAGATAGGGTTTCACCCTGTTGGCCACGGTGGTCTGGAACTACTGACCTCAAGTGATCTGCCTGCTTCAGTCTTCCAAAGTGATGGAATTATAGGCATAAGCCACTGTGCCTGGCCCCTTCTACTACTTCCTTAAAAAGCTAGGAGAATTTGAATTGTCCTATCCACTCTTCACAGAATTACTCCAAAGTGTAAACCTTTATGTCCAATGACACAGCCTTATAACCAATGAGACAGTGTTAAATATGACCAATGTCATATTTATTTATGTTTATAAAGCCTTAAACTTAAGGTTTCTTCCTCTTTTTTTCCCTAGTTGGTAGGGGAACTTACATACAGAAGCACTTTAAATGCATCACATTTAGTTTTCTGGAAATACTGTAATGTCTATGGTTACACTTTAGGCATTAGAGTTTTGTTGTTGTTTTTTTTTTTTGAGTCCTGCTCTGTCACCAGGCTGGAGTACAGTGGCAGAATGGGCTCACTGCAACCTCCGCCTTCTGGGTTCAGGTGATTCCGCTGCTTCAGCATCCCGAGTAGGTGCGACTACAGGTGTGTGCCACCACACCCAGCTAATTTTTTAACTTTTAGTAGAGATGGAGTTTCACCATGTTGGCCAGGATGGTCTTGGCTCTCTTGACCTCGTGATCCGACCACGTTGGCCTCCCAGAGTGCTGGGATTAGAGGCGTGAGCCACTGCACCTGGCCTGCCTTACTTTAAAAGTAAGAAAATAAGTAGTAAAGTCAGACTGGTGGTTAATTTTTGGTGAGAGGAAGAAGAGATTGACAGCAGAATCAGCCCCATAGAGTTTGTTTAGTTAGGAGATTTTCCAGGGATGCGACTGTTCTTGGCACCTTCACATACTTAAATGTGTGTGAGTCCCTTGTGCTCATTCACTATTGGAGCAGGTAAAACTTGGAAAGTTTAAATGCTTTTCTTAAAATTGGTTCCTCTTCCTTTTTAATAAATAACCTGTTGGGTATTGTGGTATTCTGATGTTTCTAACTCATATTCTCCAAGTTCCTTATTTTTTTAATTTCTCCCACCGCAGTTAATGAAACCATATATGCTGGCTATTAGCTTGCCTTTACTTACTGCTTTGCATTTTGGAGTTCTGTTGTAAATGTGTTCTGTAGGATAGCGATTTTGTCATCTTGATGTCTTCTGTTGGAAATGAAAGATTGAAAAACTGCTCTGCTCTTGCTACCTCCTTTCAAGTTCTTTTCCTGTAGATTTTTTTTGTGTTAAACAGTATTGGCTAACATCCCTTTATGGAAATTTCATCTAAGGTACCTAGGATGAAGTGTGACTTAACATCATTTGGTTATTTCTAAAACTTCGGGAAATGTACCTCTTACATAAAATTTTAAATAGCAACACTACTAGAATTAAAAGGAAGCTCTGAGGATAGTCCTGGTTACTATTAGTGCTCTGGAGTTGCCCCAAACGTGGTACACAGCACATAGTTATTAAATATTTGACCCTAAAAATGAATTAATTTGTAGTGACTGTTCATATTTTAGTAGGATACGTTACTAAGAGTGGAATTAATCGGTATTTGTGAGTGTATGTCTTTACTGTTGTTGCCTCCATCTTGAATTTAAATTCTCTTAATTAAGTCTGGGTATTTACAGCTATCTTACTAATTTTAGGCAACCATTTGAAGTTGGGATTAGTATATTTCTAAAATAAGCAGTTGATGATTTTGGAGCAAATTAAAAAATACACTGTAAAGAAAATGAGAAATCATATCTTTAAACTGAGAGATGACAACCATTGCTAGCATCCTTTTACTTGTATTCCTGGATGCTTTTCTACCAAACTTTTCATGTGAGAATCTTTGAGAGAATTAAGCCCTGATATACATGAAAAATGCCTTGGGTTGTGAAAGTTGCGAAGACGGTTATTTCAATCCGTTTCTGTTCTGTGTTTCAAAAGGGTATTTCTTTGAGTCACATTTGTATTTTTTGCAAATGTCCATTTGGAATATTGGATATCTGTGGTTTGGTGGGTTTCCTCCTTTATATTTTTAGCATACTTGTAGCTTACAGAGACCCTCAGCCCTGGTAATTTCTTCTCATTAAACCTATGGAGATGATATTTTCTATTGATACACCTATTGCTTGTGAAAAATAATTTCTGAAAACCAGATTATACCTCTAGTTGTAATAATAGCAAATCTTTTCTTTTTTCTCTATTTTTTTTTTTTTTTTTTTTTTTGAGACAGTTTCGCTCTTGTTACCCAGGCTGGAGTGCAATGGCGCGATCTCGGCTCGCCATAACCTCCGCCTTCTGGGTTCAAGCAATTCTGCCTCGGCCTCCCAAGTACCTGGGACTATAGGCGTGCACCATCACACTCAGCTGATTTTTTTTTTTTTTTTTTTTTTTTTTTTTTAGATGGAGTGTCACCATGTTGCCCAGGCTGGTCTTGAACTCCTGACCTCAAGCATCCACCTGCCTCCGCCTCCCAAAGTGCTGGGATTACAGGCATGAGCCACTGGGCCCAGTATCATAGCAAATCTTAGTAAACTGGCAGTAATATCTGAAACCAGTTAGGCCTTTTTGCAGATTTTTGTTTTATTTCCTCTTAGTGTTCTCAGACTTTCAGGCATATTTAATAGCTGAAAGGCTGCTGGTGGTTTTCACTGGCAACTGTTTAATTTTTATTGCTTAATCTTAAAATATTAATAACTTTTTGTAAAGGTATACTTTAGAAACTAACAAAGACAGATATTTAAATTTCAGAAAGGTTTGGAAGGAAGTGAAGTTTGAGCTTTTAAATAGCCTGTTAAATGACTGTATTAAGTATCAGAATGGTAGGAGTTGTGTATAAATGAAATGGTGTTATACTACCTGTTTTTTAATGTACATATATGTATGCATACTAGATGGTTTTATTTTCACATCATCCATGAGAACTAGTTTGTCATGATTCATTTGAGGATTGGAGGATAACATGCTGGAATTTTGAGATTCATCAGTACCTTTCAAAAGGTTGAAGGGGTAGTTAAGAATGTACTTTTAAATCTTGTTAAAGATTGGGGGTTGGATTGGGAAGAGGCAGAAGACAAAATGCTAAAAGAATGTGAAATAAAACATTTTTGCTTATACAGGACCTGAAATGGTATTGTGACTCTCTGCATTATTATTATAGGATTAAGCCTCCATCACATACATAAAGACAGATAATTTTTGGTTTTAAATCTGTGGAAAGTTGTGTATATTTCTTTAGTTCCCCTGATCCTTATTTGATTCATGCCGTGTTCCACTGGCTTGTTTTATCATCATCACCATCCGATATTATTAAATGTCCTGTGTTTTAGGTTATATAAAAAGTAGGCTTGGAGTCATTGCAGTCTGTAAAAAGATGGTATGGATACATACACATCTAAAGCATACTGCAAATTAATTGAAGTACGTGGAAATAGTTATTTCTAGTGGAAAGAAATTGATTTTATTTATTGCCTTTTGAAGAAAATTATACCTGATGGGTAAGTGTAAGCTATCCATACTAATCTAGCTAATGAATGGCTTGGCACAGAATTTGATGTACTGTGTGTATATATACAGAACCGGTAAAACTCACTAAAAGCAGTGCAAATGAAGATAGTGTTATTGATGGCAGGCAATAGCATGACCTGTAATGTGCAAAACAGCAGAAATTGGTATTAGAATGTTGGCAATTCTAATTTCCTTGAGGACTTAGAGGAAGCCACATGGAATTATGTCCAAGGAAATTATATTGCCAATGATCTGCAAGGGAGAATTTTTTTCTCCCGAGACTCTGTAATAGTTTATAGTGATGCTGAAATAGAATGAAGAGGAAGAAGTTGAATTTCCGTAAGAGTATATTCAAAGGATGGAGGCTCTGAATTTATTAGCAAATACATATTTAATGCTGTGAGTCCCTTTAAGTTACCTGGTACTCTGAGCAGTTACCTGAACAGTGGTTCAGAGAGAGTGTAGAAGTTTTTATCAAGGAATATTATTTTTAGCATCTGTTCACCTGAATCTTTTTTTTTTTTTTTTTTTTAATGCTTTACAGTTTTCGGCTTTGTGACAAACCTTATCATCAAACACAATGGCCAGCAACGTTACCAACAAGACAGATCCTCGCTCCATGAACTCCCGTGTGTTCATTGGGAATCTCAACACTCTCGTGGTCAAGAAATCTGATGTGGAGGCAATCTTTTCGAAGTATGGCAAAATTGTGGGCTGCTCTGTTCATAAGGGCTTTGCCTTCGTTCAATATGTTAATGAGAGAAATGCCCGGGCTGCTGTAGCAGGAGAGGATGGCAGAATGATTGCTGGCCAGGTTTTAGGTAAGGTCTCTGTTGAGTGAATTTTGTCATTGATGATATAATTCAGGCCTGAGTTTTTCCATTCAGGGTTTTTTTTTTCCCTGTCTGTCAAACTGACAACCTGAAATATTCTGGATATTGTGACAATTACTTCAGCCTAATAAATACATTAGGCTTTTAGTTATAATTGGCTAAGTAAAGGATATTCTTCATTGCACCATTTTGTGTAGCTGAGATAGAACAACCCTCAGTTGGAAATCTTGAGTAAGGGGAGTTGGGAATGACACTTCACAATGTAAAAATATTGCCTAAATGGTTATGTCCTGCAGACTGGAGGAGTCTTCTAGTGTTGGGCACTGGAATCAGACTTCTTGGTTTCTCATTGGGGTTTCACTCCTCCACCCATTGAGCCTACTGCATAGTTTGGCTGAGTCTTAGATTGTCTTGTTTCTGGGGTTTTTTTTCCCCCCTCTTTTTTTTTTTTTTGGAGACGGAGTCTCATTGCAACCTCTGCTTCCCGGGTTCAAACAATTCTGCTGCCTCAGGCTTCCAACTAGCTGGGACCACAGGCCAGTTCCACCATGCCTGATTAGTTTTTTGTATTTTTAGTAGAGTTGGGGTTTCACCATGTTGGCTAGGATGGTCTAGATCTCCTTACCTTGTCATCTGTCCACCTCGGCCTCCCAAAGTGCTGGGATTACAGTTGTGAGCCACTGCACCCAGCTGTTTTCTTTTAAAATACAATGACAGTTTAGGATGCTTATTACTTATGATTTGGTTTATTCAAACCAGAATACGTTGTTCACATGTGTATTTGATTAGTTGTGCTAGATGTCTTTTTTTTTTTTTTTTTTTTTTTTGAGACAGTCTTGCTCTGTCACCAGGCTAGAGTGCAGTGGCACCATATCAGCTCACTGCAACCTCTGCCTCCCGGGTTCAAGCAATTCTCCTGCCTCAGCCTCACAAGTAGTTGGGACTACAGGGGGGTGTCACCACACCAAGCTAATTTTTGGAATTTTAGTAGAGAGTGTTTCACCATGATGGCCAGACTAGTCTCAAACTCTGACCTCAGGTGATCCAGCTACCTCAGCCTCCCAAAGTGCTGGGATTATTACAGGCGTGAGCTACCACTTCCGGCCAGATGTCTGTTTTAACTTCTCATTTTATGTGTGCTTTGTGCCTCAGTTTCAAAAGAAACATACCTATGTTTTTACCAAAATTAAGATGATGATTTTTCAATTTTATATTTGTGGTTCTGTTTATTCTTGGTATATATTCTGTAAATATTGACTCAAAGTATGGTGGCTTAGAGTAACATGATAATGTTCTATAACCAAACAGATAACATAATTTGGGTCTGTTTCATTGTTATTACATCCTACGGATTGCTTTTTCAGAAATTCTATCTTTAGTTTTAGAAAACTTTATATGGTTTTGAAGTCAAAATTGTAAATGAGGTTAATGTACCAAAACCTGAAGGTTATCCATGTATTGGTGTTCAGCAAAGAGTGAGTGAGGCTCATTTTAATAAAAGCAGTATTACTGAGTTACTGTTTACTGAGTAGTTTAGACCAGGTCGGTGAAAAACTGAATTATGGAGAGTTTTTCTGATATTTTTTTTGTGTGTGTGTGGAGACAGAGCTTCACTGTTGTCCAGGCTGGAGTGCAGTGGTGTGATCTCAGTTCACTGCAACCTCTGCCTGTCAGGCTCAAGCGATTCTGTTGCCTCAGCCTCCTGAGTAGCTGGGATTACAGGCACCCATCACTGTTCCTGAATAATTTTTTGTATTTATAGTAGAGATAGGGTTTCACCATGTTGACCATGGCTGGTCTTGAACTCCTGACCTGAGGTTATGGGCTCACCTCAGCCTCCAAGAGTGTTGGGATTACAGGTGTGAGCAACCACGCCTGGTCCTGATAATGGCTTTTTAGAACAAAGAAAAGATGAATTCTTGTTTGGTGTAGGCAGTGGTGGCAGGGTAGGTAGCTGGGAATAGGTGTTAAAAATTATATTTGAAAACTAGGATTGTTTCCCTTTTTTTTTCCCTTACTTTGTGTGTGTATGTGTGTAAAGGTTATTTACTTAAGCAATTAATAAATTATTGACAAAGCAATTTTTAACCCAGGATATTTTATGTACAGTATAGCCAATCCTTACCTACAAGGAAAACCCAAATTTGCCTGAGTATGATTTGAGGGTGTCACACTTCAACTATATTAATCATAAATTGCCATATATTTTATTCTAATATATTTCATTTTAATATATCTGTAAGTTAGAATGAACTGAACCTTTTCTGGAAAGGCAATCACTGACAGATTACTCCTGTAATAGAAACTGAGTGTGCAGTCAGTGCCTTGAATGGCGAGTTAAGTGGGATATGAGGGCGGAGAGTACCAAAGACAGACTTAATGTTATGTCTCAGGACACTTCAATGGTATAGAACAGAGCACAAAGGATAGGAAGATGAAGTCCTAGACTTGTAACAATTTGTGAGCCTTCTTAATGTTAAAAGGAAACATGAAGCTGAGCATAGTATAGTACCTCATACCTGTAATTCCAGCACATTAGGAGGCCAGTGCAGATCACTCAACCCCCAAGAGTTTGTCTATGAAAAATACAAAAATTAGCCAGGCGTGGTGGTCCCTGTTATTTTCGAGTCTGAGGTGGGAGAATTACCCAAGCTTCTCAGGTCTAGACTGTAGTGAGCCATTACTGCATCTCTGCTCTCCAGCTTGTGTGACGTTAGACCCTGTCTCAAAAACAAAAAAGGAAAGAGGAGATAAATTGTTCCATATTTTCTGATTTATGTGTCTGTGTACAATTCTAAACGTTGTAGTTTGTATTAGCCAGGCTTGTCTGTAGTCCCCTTACTTGGTAGGCTGAAGCAGGAGAATCACTTAAACTGGTAGATGGAGGTTGCAGTGCTCCAAGACTGCATGGCTGCACTTCAGCCTGGGTGACAAAGCGACACTCTGTCTCAATAATGAAAAATTTAAAAAATAAACTTTGTTGTTTGTTTTACCTGGATACAAAATTGTCATTAAAATTTTTGCTTTTGTTTTTCAGATATTAACCTGGCCGCAGAGCCAAAAGTGAACCGAGGAAAAGCAGGTGTGAAACGATCTGCAGCGGAGATGTACGGGTCAGTAACAGAACACCCTTCTCCGTCCCCTCTACTCAGGTCCGGAACTTTATTATTTATAACTGCATTGTGTCCATCAGTGGGCATCTTCTCTATCTGTTTTCTGGGTGTTGGGAGGGTTAAGTGTACTGTGTTTTATTTGCATATAAATAAGGTTTTATTATTTTTGCATTAATAGTCTCTTTTTTTTGTCCTAGGAAAAATTTCTAGAGAATTAGAAATCCCTGAAGTTTTTGCTATTAATATTTAAGAGTAGTTTGATGTTTATAGCATAACCTGAAATACTTCTATGGAATTGTTGAGCTCATAAGACACTAGAGAGAAGAAAGGGAAAAAGGGAGTGGTATAAAGATGTTTAGTTAACCATTCTGTTTTTCAGGGTACTTACTTTAGCTATGTTGTATGTGAAAATCTTAGTGAATTTTAACCTGAATTACCAGTTTGACTGCTACATGTCTAGTGGTCTAAGGTGACTGGAATTGAGTGATTTATTGTATGAATGTTTGGGAATCATTCAGTGCTAACCTTGTTGATCTATTTGTTAATGGTTTATTTGGCATGGTTCTCCCCTCACCTACTGTTATGAATTAGTAGCAGCATTTCCAAATTAACCCTCTTTGGTATTTATTTTTCAGCTCCTCTTTTGACTTGGACTATGACTTTCAACGGGATTATTATGATAGGTATGTTAAGTGTTTTGTCATTCTACTGAACACCTACTTAGTGAGAATCATTTTGTTTGTCTAGTTTGTGGTGATGAATATCAAGGATGTTTTCAAACATTTTCCTTTACCTCCAAAACAAAAAATACCTCTTTTTAAATGATTACGTAGATTATTAGGTTGGGTGATAGTGATAATGCATGATTTCTTAATGTCAGGAGGTATAGGTTTTCTGGATCACTTGTTTCACCTTCCTTCTTGAGACGAGTCAGTCTTAAAAGTAAGGACTCTCTGGCTTGCCTGATGCTGAAATGGGGCTTACTAGCTGATCCATGTCCTCTAATTTATTTTCCTATTGCTCATGCATCACATAATGTTTCTGTCAATGCCAGATCGCATATACAATGGTGGTGCCATAAGATTGTATTATTTCCAATATTTAGATACACAAGTAGTTGCTATTGTGTTAAAATTGCTTAAAGTATTCAGTACAGTAACATGGTGTACGAGTTTGTAGCCAAGGAGCAGTAGGCTATAACAAGGTTTGTGTAAGTACAATGATATGAATGCCTAGTGATGGATGCATTTCTCAGAACTTAGACCCAATGTTAAGCGACACATGGCTGTAATTGCCACCTCTAACTTGTCATGATAGATCACAGCAAAACCATAAAAAATGATTCCTGCCAGGTGCAGTGGCTCACGCCTTTAATCCCAGCACTTTGGGTGGCTGAGGCGGGCAATCACCTTAGGTTGGGAGTTCACCACCAGCCTGGTTAACATGATGAAACCCTGTTTCTACTAAAAACACAAAAAATTAGTTGGGTATGGTGGTGCACACCTGTAATCCCAACTACTCAGGAAGCTGAAACAGGAGAATCGCTTGAAACCTGGGAGGTGGAGGTTGCAGTGGACCTAGATCAGCTTGGGCAACAAGAGTGAAACTCAAAAAAAAAAAAAAAAAAAATTACTAGCCTTAAAAATCCTGTAGTCTCACATGCCATACTATAGGGAACCCCCCCCCTCCAAAAAAAATCCTAGTCTTTTTTCAAGCTTCCCAGGTATACAAAATAGGAGCCAATAATACCATGCTAGTTCCTTTAGGAGTTAATATGAAGTTAATGTTGATTTGTACAGTAGATTGTACAACAGTAGTTGTAGAGATATGGAGGTGATAGAATTCTTAAAAAAAAAACAAAAAACAACAGATTGGAGTAATGATGATGTGTGCCTTCGGAACACATTAGTATTTTTTAGAGAGTCATAAGAAATGTATTTGAAAGCTGTGTGGATAGGAACTGGGTTGTGGGTGGCTTTGAATGATAGATTTAAAACTGATAGTAAATACCAGGAAATAGAATGATGTGCTAAAGAGTTACCACACTGACATTCTGATACATCAGTCTCAGGTAACATTGAGAAAAATGTTAGACTTACTTGGATTGTCATTTTTAAACTAATGCAGTATGTGTAAGTGTATGGAGCAAACTGCTGTATGCAATACACTTTTAAAATGCAATATATAAAGCATAGTACTTTATGTATATGATACATAGTACTACTGTTCATCTTAGAATGCCAGTATTCCAGTCATTAGTATTTTAATGTTATTACTGTATATGACAATTCAGTCTGATTTTAAAATAAAAATTATTGATTATTGGAATAAAAATTATTGATTGGGGAATATAACATTTGATCTGAGTTGATCAGTCATGCATGGGAGTTGTGTAAGGGAATCAAGTCAGCTGTGAAATACTGTAAAGTATACACTGAAAGTGTCAGACATGAAAGTATACACTCTGTGTTTGAGAAATACCTTATAGAATATAGTAGCTAGTCATTAAAAGGCTACAAGAGTAAGTCCAGAAAAAGAATTTTGATCTACATTGTAAAGGGCCTTGAATGCCATATTAAGATGGTATGGTTGAGTATCCTTAATGCATCATCAAATGGTTTCTTCATTTGACATTTGTGATTTTCTCAGATTTTTTTTTTTTCCCAGGTTCAAGCGATTCTCCTGCCTCAGCCTCCCGAGTAGCTGGGATTACAGGCATGTGCCACTACGCCCGGCTAATTTTGTGTTTTTAGTAAAGACAGGCTTTCTACTAAAAAAAGTATATAAGCGACTGGAGTATGAAATCCTTTCATTAGAGGTTTCAGAGTGCTGTTACTACTCCATAGCTAAATATGTCACTGTGTCAGTGGATCAGAAATAGATAAATACATCAAGAACTCACAGGGCAAGGACAATACATGAACAAAGATTGAGTTGTGAAGGGCCCTGATGTGTTTGGGGGAGCAGTTAGCTGTAATAGAAAATTGTAAGTGGTCATTGTAAAGGGCTTTGTATGACATGTTCAGGAATTGTGTCCTATAAATGATATTTTTGAAACAGCCCCTTGGTTAGAAAAGGGAAACTGGAGCAAAAAAGATAAGTTAAATGTTTAACATTGTAAATGTTGAAATGGAGAGGAGGTTGGAAGAATTTCTGTGGTGAGAATATAGGTGTGAGCCACTGGTGCCTGGCCGGACCTAAATAATAGTTATTTCTTAGTATTTCTTTTAGACTAGTTTCTTACTGTGTCCTGGACTCGTTCAGTAGGTGGGAGATACTTATTTGTAGGAGAAGCTGAAGCATTTCAGCCTGGATCAGTCTGTTGTATGACTCAGAATTGAGTGGTGGTCTGATTTAATTTTTACCCAAGACTAAGGTATCTACTTGAGCGCATTCTTCAGGTAGATTTCGTCAGCCTCCTCGGCGTTTTTTCTTTTCTTAATTTAGCTTTATTGAGATTTTGTATTCTATACAATTCATCCATTTAAAGTGTTCAGTTCACTTCAGTAAATTCAGAGTTCTGCAGTTAGGACCATGATCTAATTTTAGATCATTCTGTCATGCTAAAAATAAATTCTTTCCTTACAGATTTGCCTATTAGGCATTCATATAAATGGAATTATATAATATGTATTGTGACTGGCTTTGTCCACTTAGAATATTTTCAAGGTTCATCTATGATGTACCGTGTATCAGTGCTTTTTTTCTTTTTATAGATAATACATTTTGTTAGTAGATGTACATTAGAGTTTTTCTACATGTTAAAAAATGATGCTATGAAGATTGGTATGCAAATTTTTGTATGGTCATGTGTTTTCATTTCTTTTGCGTATATATGTAGGAGAATGGCTGGGTTGTATGGTGATTAATATGGTCAACCTTACCAGCAGCCAAACTGTTTACCAAAAGTGGCTGTACTCTTTTTTTTTTTTTTTTTTTTTGAGATGGAGTTTAGCTCTTATTACACAGGCTGGAGTGCAATGGCGTGATCTCGGCTCACTGCAGCCTCCTCCTGGGTTCAAGCAATTCTCCTGCCTTAGCATCCTGAGTAGCTGGGACTACAGGCCTGCGCCACCATGCTCAGCTAATTCTTGTGTTTTTAGTAGAGACAGGGTTTCACTATGTTGGTCAGGATGGTCTCGATCTCTTGACCTCCGATCCACTGCGCCTGGACGGCTGTATCCTTTTATTGCCAACAATCGTGGAAGTTTCCAATTCGTCCACTTAGGTTCATTACCTGTATTTTGCTTTTATCCATTTTAGTCTAGTGAGAGTGTAGCAGGATCTCAGTCAGGTTTTAATTACTTTTTTTAAAAAAATACTGAATATCTTTCCATGAACTTTTCAGCCATTTGTTTACTCTTCCACAAATGTATTCAGATTTTTTGTCCATTTTTATATTAGGTTGTTTTGTTGTAGAATTAAATATATTTTCTGGAAACAATACTGGGTACAACATCTGATAGTGACTTTTTAAAATTTTTAACTGTTTCTTAAAATTTAACCATCCTGGTATATATGAGAGATATATGTAACTATCCATTTGTACTAAGGCTGTTTGGCAGAATTTTTAAGGATTATGGGTTTTTAACAGACTGAGTAAATTAATTGAATACTGGACTCTGGAAATTGTTTATAAGGGTTACATGGATGTCTGTGGTGGCAACAGACTAAACAGTGCTGTTAAATAGAACTGTCTTTCATGTTAAGTGCAGTAGCCATATGTGACTAGTGACATGGATTGGGGATAGTTGCAGATCTAGAATGCTGCAAAAATCAGTTTAGAGTAGAATGAGTCTAGAGTTGCATAATGTATAAGAAATGTAATGACTTAAAGCCTATTTTGCAGGAAAGAAATAACCCAGGCTGCAGTTTTAGAGCGAATCTGAAATGTTGGAAGAGTAAATAGGAGAAAGTTGTCTGTAGAAATACATTTCTGTTTGTGATTTCCTTACAGCAAGCATATGATAACAGCTTCAAATGCACATTCATCATGGACACTGCTGAATTTGTGTGTGTGTGTGTGGTTTTTTTTTTTTTTTTTGAGACGGTATCTGTCGCCCAGAGAGGAGTGCAGTGGGATAATATTGACTCATTGCACCCTTTGCCTCCTGGGTTCAAGAGATCCTCCTGCCTCAGCCTCTCCTGAGCAGCTGGCAGTATAGGCAAGCCATCACGCCTGGCTAATTTTCTGTAGAGATGGGGATTCATCATGTTGCCTAGGCTCATCTTGAACTCCTGATCTCAAGTCAAGTGATCAGCCCAAAGTGCTGGGATTACAGGCATTAGCCACTGCGCCTGGCCGATAGTTGAATCTTTCTTGAAAATAGATTTAAGTTTTTGGTAAAGTATGATATTCAACTTTTATCTGATTTTTTTTGGGGGGGGAATCCTTTGCATTCGTGTTTATCAAGCTAGGAAATAAAAACCTCAATCCTCTGGCTTGGCTATTTTATAGATAATTTGGTGTGTTACACATTGTTGATTGTGTGATTTATGGACAAATATTTCCTAGAAGCCAGTTGGGAACATCATTTATTTACTCAACAAATACTGGTTATGATCCTGCTGTGAGGTGTTACACATAGCAGGAATAGTATGATAAGAAATAGAGGCCAAGCGCAGTGGCTCACCCCTCTAATCCCAGCCCTTTAGAAGCCCAAGTTTGAAGCCAGCCTGGCTAACATGGTGAAACCTCGTGTCTATTAAAAATAGAAAAAATTATCTGGTTTCGGTGGCGTGGGCCTGCAATCCCAGGTACTCAGGAGGCTGAGGCGGGAGAATTGCTTGAACCTGGGAGGCAGAAGTTGCAGTGAGCTGAGATAGCATTACTGTATTCCAGCTTGGGCAACAAGAGTGAAACTTCATCTCAAAAAAGAAAAAAAAGTTGGCCTCAGAGAAAAGGGTGGGTTTAAGACATTTTGTGAAGCATAAGGCATAGTCTTTAGCTTTTACTTTGAATGAGAAGGGAAGCTATTCGAAGAGGAATGAGATCACTTACTGAGAGAAGATAATGGGTGACAGATTTATCCAGACAAGCAGTCATTTTTGGTGGGACCAGGGAAATGACAATGGGAGTGATTAGAAGTACCGTACATGGATTTTGAAGTTGATGGTAAGAAATTTGCTTATAATGTGAGGCCTGAGAAGAGGAATCAAAGATGTAGCCAACCTTTTTGTGCTAGACAACTGGAATCATGGAATTTTCACTGATTGGGAGGAGCTAGGGTGAGGATCGAATATCGTAGATCAGTTGTAGACATGTTAAAGTTGATCCACTGGATAGAGGTTAAGCAGTTGTTTATATGGTTCTAAGGGAGTCATCTGCTTTAAAGGTTATAAAAAACCACAATACTGGATGAGTGGAAACAAAATGAGATTTTGGGAGTACTGTGAACTTTAAGGTGTTGAGGAAAAAATGAGCAAAGAACATTGAAAATGCCAAAATGGAAAAAGTAGGACAAAACTCAGAAGCATGAAGTATCCTGGACTGTGTGAATATATATCAAAAGAGTAGAGAGGCAAATGAACGTGTCACATGTCATTAATAGTTAAAGTAATAGAATTTAGAAAATGTTTTTGAATTAGCAGTGTCATTGGTGACCTTTGACAATGGTAAAGTGAGTGGGAAGATAGACAGCATAGAAAACATGCAGTAAAATTCACTCTTGGTGTACATTTCCTATATCAGATTTGATCTACAAAATGCATAGTCATAGAGCCATCACTGTAATCAAGATAGACATAGTTCCGAATGCTCTGAAATGCACCTTTGTCTTCAGCCACTTTTCCTTCACTATTCCCCAGCAGTCATACCTGTTTTTATAGACAACTCCTTAAAAGGAATTTTACTGTAAGTGAAAGGATAGCTTTTTACTCTAGTGATCTAGCTTGATAAAATGAGAATTCTGGAATGTGAATGGGTGTATGTTCTTTAAAACACTGTTAACATAATTTCAGCTTTAAAAAAATTTTCTAAATTCAGAATTTTCTTTTTTAATAGAGACTTGGTCTCACAGGCTGGTCTCAAACTCCTGGGCTCAAGTGATCTACCTGCCTTAACCTTCCAAAGTGTTGGGATTACATCTGAAAGCCACTGTGTGTGGCTTTTTTCAGGTTTTTTTGGAGTCAGTTTTGTTTTGTCTCCCAGGCTGGAATGCAGTGGTGCGATCTTGTCTCACTTCAAACCCCGCCTCCCAGGTTCAAGCAAGTCTTGTGCCTCAGCTCCAAGTAGCTTGTTAATACAGGTGCACACAATCCGTATCCAGCTGATTTTCTTTTTTGTATTTCAGTAGAGACTGGGTTTCACCATGTTGGCCAGGCTGGTGTTTAATTCCCAACATCAGGCAATCCACCACCTTGGCCTTCCAACGTGCTAGGATTACAGGCGTGAGCCACCGTGCCCAGCCTGAATTTCAGTTTTTTAAAACATCAAAATAGCACCACACTGTCAGTTTAAAAGTTTATCTTTGGTAAAGGTTCACACTGACATGGGAGTATGTGTATTGTTGAATATCATGACAAATGAGTAATGTTAAAAGTCTGGAGCTGGGCACGGTGGCTCATCTCTGTAATCACAGCACTTTGGGAGGCTGGGGCTGGTGGATCACTTGAGGTCCAGGAGTTCACAAGAAGCCTGGCTAACATGGTGGAACCCCATCTCTACTAAAATCAGAAAAACTAGCTAGGCTTGGGAGCATGCACCTTTAATCCAA